CCCTGTAATGGTTTTGCTTCTTCTAGAAAAATCCAAAAGCACAGTAGGTCTGTCAGTGGACAAGGGAGCGGTTACTAGCACTTCACCTTGTCTTTTTCCTTTTTCCTGCTGTCCCGAAGGCACAGCAGAGCTAGAAGGAGAAATAGGCTTATCAGTCGGAGAGTCCTCCTGAGGTGGAGGGGTCTTTTTACAGTGATAAGCATGGGTCCAGGCAGGTAGTCCTTGGCACTTCACAGCGGTGTTGGTGGTTAACAGCACTTGGAAAGGGCCTTTCCAGTGGGGAGCCAAAGCAGTCTTTCATTGATAGACTTTACATAGACTCAGTCTCCTTGTTTCAATGAATGGCAGGGCTGCTAGGGTCTTTGGGTAGCACTTCTTTTATCTGTGAGAAAAGAAACCTAACACATTTCATTAATGCCTGGCAGTGTTTTGCAGATCTCATAGTTGCTTGGGCACATTCAGGCCCCCCCTTTTCTTGGCTATCAGCCAAGTCTTAGCTGTGGGCAGTGTCCTTGGATTGGGCCAGCATCTTATCTTTGGACTGAGCTTGCTAGCTATTTTTTTTTCCAGTTAACTCGTTCTGTTTTTTTTCCTTCTTCCCTTCTTGGCTTCTTTTAACCTGCAAAGGAAACTTCCACTCTTCACTCATACACCTTTTCCCAACAATGAACACATACACATTGCCATTATACAGTACATGAGTCTTATTACTCAATGTATGCCATATACACCCTTCCAGTAAAATAACTTTATTACAGAGCTTTGGAGCAACAAACCAGGGCAAGCACACCCACCTTTGAGGAGTCCACTCGGTACAACCTCTGGTGTCCAATAGCTTTCCTCCCTCCCCAGCCCTCTGGCTAGAAATCTGAGGTAGCCAGAAGGATCCCATGGGCAATATGGGGAGTGGGTTAGCCTTCCATGTCCTTGCTTCCAAAGACTGTTGGTATGCAAATTTTAACAACAATAATTCCTATTGTGCCAGTAAATGCATGGTACGTTGAATGCTATTCAGCTGGCATCCGTTTTCTCTGATGATCTGAAAGACAAAAGAACAGAGGTCTACCCCTTCTGGGCAGTCAGTCATTGCTTAAAATATTTTTTTTATATACACATACTCTTGTTGATTTTAGACAAAACAGAATTACCCCATATTTCCTTGTATTTATTTTATAGGCAGCCCAGGTTTCAGTGGCTTCTACTTTATTAGTTAGAAAATTGCATTAATACGGATGCTTTCTGGCTTGCTTCCAGATCCAAAGCTACCCCCAGGCTAAAAATTTTTTCTTAAAAAAAAAAAAAAGGACACAATTAACTTTCCCAGACTTTTGATTGCCTTTTA